CCGGGCAAGGCACAGCCCTGCTCCCGGATACTCGCTGCACCGGCGGCAGACTGCCTGCCACACACAGGGCAGGGGAGGGGGCAGAGGGCTGAACCAACCCCCTGGCTGAAGAGCAAAGGGGTCTATGCAGCCAGGCAGGGGGAGCTGCCTCCCACCTGGGGATCAGGGACTCCCGGGCCCAGCAGGTGAGCCGAGCCACCTCGGAACAGCTCCTCCAGCCCCACTGCCCAGGGAACCGCGCTGGGCCCGTTCAGTTCAGGCAGGCCACAGCGACCAGCGCGGTCTGCTCCTTGCCAAGCTGGGCAGGGACCCCGAGGGGCGGGCAGGGCAGGTGTCTGCATGGCCCCTAGCCAGGACTAACTCTCGGCAGCGAGGTCCCGGCTGACGAAGGCGGCGTCCACGTCCTCCAGGAGGATGATGCTCTGCTGCGGCGCCACGCTGAGCAGGTGGTTGAGGCGGTCGTCGGAGAGGCCGCGGTCGCTCAGGCTCAGCAGGCAGATGCCGTACTCCAGCTCCCCGGCCAGGGCGGTGCTGGGAGGGGAACACGGGGAGAGTAAAGCCCAGGGAGGGCAGCGCTCCCTCTCCAGCCCCACAGGGCCAGGCCCCAACCTCAGACCTCGCCAGGAGTTGGGGGCGGACCTGGAAGTTCCTTTCCCAACCGTGACCGGATCTCCTGTCCAATGTGCGGCAAGTTCCGTCTGCACCCTGCCTCCCGTGCGCAAGCCCTGCCCTGCCCCCCACGGGGATGGAAGGACACGCTGTGGGGCGCTCCGGCATGGGGCCTCTGTGTTCCTCCAGCAGCTGACTCCCCTGCCAGGCACCTCCCAGTCACCTGCCCACGGGCAAGGCAAGCACAAGGGGCGGGCGCTCTGCTCCGGGAGTCGGAGGCCTGCCCTGCACCGTGAGTGACCATACAGGGCGCCCAGACAGATGTGCCAGGCTGAAGGGGGATCCAGGGGACGCAGCTCTGGGGCCCCGATGTAGCCCTGTTCATCGTCTGGGACGTGGCCTGTTAGAGTGTGTGGGGCTGGCCTGCTTTGGGCTGTGGACATAACACAATTCACGTTTCAGGGGGGCGCCCCAACAGCAGCCCAGCTCAGGGCCCCCAGCGGGCTAGCAGCACCTCCGGACACAGCCCTTGGCTCGCGCTGCTGCCCGTTTCTCCCTGGCTAACCCAACCCCCCTCCTCGGCGAAGCCACCCCAGGCCCCCCGCCCACGGGCGAAGGGGACCCAGAACTCGGGCAGGCTGGCCCCACCCAGCCTAGAGTACTCACATGAAGCTGCTCTTCCCGCAGCCCGGGGGCCCGTAAAGCAGATACCCCCTCCTGTAGGGGATTCCTAGGAAGAGAGGGAGCCATCAGAAGTCAGCCACGCGCCCCAAACCCAGCCTGCCCCACAGCCCTAAAGGACGGAGCCCAACTAAGGACCACACAGGCCGCCACCCCCCCCCAACACACACACCCAGGGCCCTAATCTGGACTCGTGGGAGGCTCACCTGGCCAGCGGGCTCCCCTCACGCAGTGCTGCCCTCGGCTCTGGCGCTGTCCCTGAGAGCAGCCCCTGGACCACTGGGGCCTGCCGAGCAGAGCAGAAAGCTTCCAGCTGGGGCCAGGCCTGGAGCAAGATGGACCCCAGCTGGGGAGCTACGGGGCGGAGGGGTAACCTGCTTGCTCCCTACGGCGCCAGGGAGAGACCCGGCACTGAACCCACCCTTCCCTGCAGCGAGGGGCCCCGGGGCCCGGACATCCCGCAGGGCGGCTGCCTAGAGCACTGGGCCTGCATCGCCACGGCAGCGCCCGTTTCTCAGCCGGGCCGCTGCGGTGAATCGGGCCCGCTGACTGCAGAGAGGGGCACTGCCCCTCCAGCCCAGAAACGCCCCACTCCCGGCTGAGGCCATTCAGTGCCAGTGCCCCCAGGCAGCCGCGAGGATTGTACACGAAGCTTCTTCACACACACAAACCGGGGCCCCGGGGAGGAAGGGGGTGGTGAGTCAGACCTAAGGTGCTGCGGGGCTAGGCCAGGCCCAGGTGCATCGGGAGAGCCGCAGCGGGGGTAGCTGCCCCGCCCCCGCCTGCCTGCAGCACCCTGGCTCGAGGGAGCGTTCTTTGCCCTCCCTGGGGCCCTAGAGGAGGCCAGAGGGAGGGAGCCTTGCCTCTCTCAGTGTACCACTTGGGGTTCTCGATGAACTCTTTGACGTCCTGCACGATCTTCTCTGAGACATGACAGTCTTCCCCTCCTGCTGCCTCAGAGCCAGCTCCCTGGCTGGACAGACGGAGAGAGGCTGGCAGTGAAAGAGGCTCTCCCACAAGGCACCAGGAACTGGCCCAGCTTTTACAGCTGCCAGCTTCAAATCTGCCGCAGCAGGACACTAGCCAGCCCGGGCCCCGGCCCTGCGAGCAGCCGTACCTTCCTGGAGGATGCTGCAGTCTTCCCCTCCTGCTGCCTCAGAGCCAGCTCCCTGGCTGGACAGACGGAGAGAGGCTGGCAGTGAAAGAGGCTCTCCCACAAGGCACCAGGAACTGGCCCAGCTTTTACAGCTGCCAGCTTCAAATCTGCCGCAGCAGGACACTAGCCAGCCCGGGCCCCGGCCCTGCGAGCAGCCGTACCTTCCTGGAGGATGCTGAAGAAGATCTCCCGGTTGGTGCCCAGGGCCGTGAACGTCACGGACTCCCAGGGGGTCCCCGTGTGCAGGTCAATCATTTGCTTCTCTCGATTCCGCTCAATGCGGATCCACTTCCTCCGGTACCTGGGAGCAGAGAGAGGCTGAGCAGGGAGGCCAGGCCAAGGGGCGATGCTGGAGGAGGCTCGGGAGCATCACCACGTACCCGCTTCCGCGGTGAAGCTGAACTGACTCAGCGTTTTACGTGGCGACTTGCCCTGACGCTCTGAGAAGCGCCTTTACAATCCCCTGCTGTGCGAGGTCCATGCGTCCGCTCCACCCCGCACAGGCACAGACGGGCTTCCACTTCGTATCTGCCGTGTTTTAACTTCGCCGAGTAGCCTCGTCATCTCCCGGGGCGGGCAAGGCCGTGTGGGGGCATTCCCGACCCCAGGGACAGGAGATGAATTCGGCATCTCGCCTGCTGGTCATCTCTTTTCCCCGCTAAGCAGTCATAGAGTCCTAGGGCGGGCAGAGCCCACAGGAGTCACCGCGTCCAGCCCCCTGCCCAAAGCACGACCAGCCCCAACTAAACCATCCCAGCCAGGGCTTGGTCCAGCCAGGACTTAAACACCTCTAGGGATGGAGATTCCACCCCCTCCCTAGGGAACCCAGCCCAGCGCTTCCCCACCCGCCTAGGGAACCTGGACCTCCCCCACTGCAACTTGAGCCCATTGCTCCTTGTTTTGCCATCTGCCACCTCTGAGAACAGCCTCTCTCCTTCCTCCTTGGAACCCCCCTTCAGGAAGTTGAAGGCTGCTCTCAAATCCCCCCTCACTCTTCTCTTCTGCAGACTAAACAGACCCAAATCCTTCAGCCTCTCCTCAGAGGTCATGTGCTCCAGCCCCCGAATCATTTTCATTGTCCTCCACTGGACCCTCTCCAATGCGTCCATGTCCATTCTGTCATGGCGGCCCAGAACTGGACACAAGACTCCAGTGGCCTCTCCGGTGCCAAATGAAGGGGAATAATCACTTCTCTGGATCTGCTGGCAATGCTCCTCCTAATGCCCCCCAACATGCCATTAGCCTTCTTGGCTACAAGGGCGCCCTGTTGACTCGCATCCAGCATCTCATCCACTGTAACCCCCAGGGCCTTTTCCACTGAACTGCTACGTAAACATTTAAAAATGAATGGAGATGCCTATCTCCTAGAACTGGAAGGGACCTTGAAGGTCATCGAGTCCAGTCCCCTGCCTCAGGACCAAGTACCATCCCTGACAAATATTTGCCCCAAATCCCTAAATGGCCTCTGCAAGGATTGAACTCACAACCTCGGGTTTAGCAGACCAATGCTCAAACCACTGAGCTCTCCCTCCTTAGCCAGTCAGTCCCCAGCCTGTACCAATGCTTGGGATTCTTCTGTTCCACGTGAAGGACTCTGCACTTGTCCTTGTGGAACCTCATCCGATTTCTTTTGGCTCAATCCTCTAATCTGTCCCGGTCACTCTGGACCCTCCCCCTGCCCTCCAGTGCATCTACTAAGGACTTGTATCGACTACACAATTAGTCGATAGGACCACTCTGCAGAGCCACAGCGGGGGTAGCTCCAGGAGCCGGCTCAAGCCGGGACTGAGCAGTCCTGGTTCGTGCCTGCTCCGGAAGCCACCTGCGCTGCGGCTCTGCATTTTAAACGTAGTAAGAGCAGCCTGTGGCTGGCCGTGGACAGGGGCAGCTGCCGCCAAGCAGTCCCTGTCCGCAGGGGGGCCCAGCTCCTCGCTGGGAGCCCTGCCGACAAGGGCTGCTGCCAGAGCAGCCTCTGCCCACAGCAAGCCTCAGCCCGGGTTTATAACTCTGACAAAGGCAGCGGGTGGGGGTGGGGGGAGGCAGCACCCTCCAGGACTGGCTCCTGTTTCCCCCCTTTGCTGCCTCTCATGGAGGCAGCGAGCAAGGGGGAGAGGAAGCGAGTAGTCGAGACTCCAGTCGACTCCTCTAATGTGCCTAGTACCTACCCATGCGCTGCGTGCGCCAAAGCCCACTGAAATCAGCGGGACCCTTTCTGACTTCAACAGGCCCCCAGGCCCTTCAATAATTTTTCTTCACACGCAGCCCTCGGGTCGGGGGTGCAACTGGTCAGTTCCAGCCCATTCCTTCGCCCACCCTGCCCCCTTACCAGATGAAGTGGTTGCCAGGGCTGGGGATGAAGTCGAACTTGGTGCTGACGCGCCCGCTCTCATGCTGCAGGTACGAGGTCTCCACGCTCAGGTGCTGAGTGTGCTTGGCATAGTGCGAGATCCAGCTCAGCAGCCACTGGTAGCTCTTGTCCTTGCTGGGCACCTCCAAGGTGATCATGTAGTGTCGGCGAAAAGCAACCACCCCAAACTGGGCCCCCTTCCGGGCCAGGGCCAGAGCCGTGCCCACCCCTACCAGGCCAAACCCAGCCCCGAAGTAGGGATTGTCCTTCAGCGCCAAGACAAAGTCAGAGAAGGGCATGGTGGGCCAGGGGAGTCATGCGACGGCTTTCAGTGGCATCGCCCCTGCCAGCCAGAACAAACCTGATGATAAAACAAAAAGGGAAAAGGCTGAACTACAGGTGCCGATGCTAACGCTCAGCATGAGGGGCCGGCACAGAGCCAAGGTGACACCCAGGCCACCCGCTTTCGAGGCCTTCTCTGTGTGGCACATTCAGATTTGTCACCAGCAGAACTCTCTTGAAAATGCAAAGCAAGTTTCTAGCCCTTAAAGCTGCAGAGAAAACCTTCCAAACCTGAGCCAAGGGCAACAGGCCCAGCCGCAGCTCCCTGAAGCAACAGCGGAGAGATGTTACCGTCTCAGCCCATCAAGCAGTTAGCTGCTCTGCCCCTAGTGACTCTCACAGCCCAGACAGATCCTGGCTGGCTTTGGGCACAGCTCTCAAAGTGGAGTGGTGCTGGCGACCACATGGGAGTCCAAGGACCCGTGTGATCAGGCCAGCGGCCTCCGGAGCGCCTTCTTGGGGCCTGTGGTCATGGTGCAGCAGCCCTGCCTCAGTTTCCCCACTTGTTAGGGCTCTCTCCATCGCATTACCAAAGCAAACAACATTCCGCACGTTCAGCTGGATTCTTCGTGGAACAAAATAGGCAAAGTGAGTTCTCAGGCTCTCCTCCCCCATCAAGTCCATGTTCCTAGTCCTGCTGGGGGCCCCCTCTCGGAGCCTCTTCTCTGAACAGGGTTCCCTGCTGGCTCCTCCCCCCAGCATTCTCCATCCCTCTCCTCCGGAGCAACCCCCTCCCCAGCTTCCTGCTGCTTTGACACTGGTAGCCTGCTTAGTAGCAAGGGCTGGCTAGGCCCAGCCACTAGGTCTGAAAAGGAACCACCACCCTTGGCATGCAGGCTCAAGCAACTGGGAGGATGCCACCCGCACAAGGCTCTCCGGAGCTGGGCTGAGGAAGCTCTTTGGGCAGGGTGGCAGAACAGCATCCCAGGCCACTGGGAGGAAGCTGGGAGCGCAAGGGTGTAAAAGCAATGTGGGCTTATCACAGGTGAAGGGCCAACCCGTAGCTTTCTCACTAAAACCCTCCGGCCACAAGCTGTTAGAAAATACTGCCCAGGGCGCAGTTCCAGAGGATTTATTACGGCAACTGCTCAACATGCATCACCAGGTGCATCCCGAAAGCCTGTCCCATGCAGCTAGGAGCCTGGACGGGACGGAGATGGAAGCAGCCTCTCCCATCTGTGATGGCAGTGGAAGGCCTAAAGCCACAGAGCCGTCCTGCACCACGTCGTGGAAACGGTTACCTTTTAAAGCAATGTGGGCAGACAGACAGCACTACAAGGGGTTCTAGCCTTGGCTTGATTTCGGGCAAGTCCCTTCCCTTTCCATCCCTCGCTCTGTGAAACACAAGTGATGATTCTGGCCTTGTCCGTGAGGGGCTTTGAGATAAAACTGACCTGTACAAGCTAGGGACCACTGGTAAAGTCCTGTCCCAACCTTGGCCGTCTCGATGCTCTCTTGCCCTGCTATTGATGGAGCGTGCCAATAGTTTGAGCTCTCCTCCGGCTGCACCTCCCCGCCCATGAGGATACCCAGCACATTTCACATTAATGCGCTGCAGCATTAGTGACTTAAGCCTCCTGTTGCCAGAGGGATGGGGGCAGGGGTGTCACATGATCACTCCCATTGCACAGCCTGGGAAACTGTAGGTCACAGGCGAGCTGGAGAGCCTGTGGCCGTCAGGAATAGACTCCAGGAGTCCTGGTTGTCAGCAGGCTTACGCCCTGTGCAGGCAGTAGTGCGATGGTAGGCTTGGTGTGCCAGCCCCAGCCGGCAGCGATACAAGGACCAGGCTGAGGGAGTGCCATCCCTGACAGGCGTGTGTCCAACCTGCTCTTAAACATCCCCAGGGATGGAGATTCCACAACCCCCTCCGGCAACTTATCCCAGTGTTTCACCACCCTGACAGGCAGGAAGTTTTCCTTAATGTTCAACCTAAACCTCCCTGGCTGCAATTTCAGCCCATTGTTGCTTGTCCTGTCCTCAGAGACCAAGGGGAACCATTTTCCTCCCTCCTCCCTGTGACCCCCTTTTAGGGACTGGCAAGCTGCTGTCATGTCCCCTCCGGTCTGCTCTTCTCCAGACTAACCAAACCCTTTCCATAGGGTCTCCCATCTCCCCTCAAAAGGAGCCTAAAGCCCCCACTTGAGTTCCCCTTTCATGGGGCCTGGGCCCCCTCTCTGCTCCCTCCCCCCTATAATGGGTCTGTCCACCCCCCCGCAAGGCAGCCTGAAGCCCCCACACCAGTTCCCACACCCCGCGGGTCTGACCCCCCAACTG